ATCCATGCTCTAAGAGTTTCTTCCAGGAGCTTATTATTTATTTCTTCTGAGATCCCTGCAAATATGAGGTTTGCTCGTCTGTTCCTGTCTGATAACTCCGTAAGTTGGGTATTTAACTGATTAATCCTCTGTTTTTTGTAGCAAGTTCAAAAGCTGCAATTGACCTCTGTTTTGTTTCTTTAATCTCGACTGCTAGTTCTGACACTGCGTCTTTTATTGTCTTAATTTCAGTTTTTATCTGCTCCTGAGAAGCCATCATTAAGTTCTGGAATGCTGCTATCTGTTCTGAGACCTCTTTCAAATTTTTTGCCATAATAACAGCTATTTTCCGGTGATTTTTGTTTCTTTAATCTCGACTGCTAGTTCTGACACTGCGTCTTTTATTGTCTTAATTTCATTTTTATCTGCTCCTGAGAAGCCATCATCATGTTCTGGAATGCTGCTATCTGCTCTGAAATCTCTTTAAATTTTTTTGCCATAATAACAGCTATTTTCCGGTGAAGTAGATAAGGGCTGGAAGTTTGGCCTGGGCGTTACCTCCCTAATGCAGTAATAAATAATTGCTATCTTACCCTCTGAAGCTTCAGAGTGGAATTCCTTGTGTTCACCAGATGTTCCTACGTTGATTTCTTCTTTTAGTTGACCTTGAGGACGGTCTAAACACGTTCTTTTTGAGCTTTTAAGTTAATTATTCTAAGGAGAGGTCGGACAAGCAACCGGCTTCCTCAGCGCATGCGTGCAACTCCACTTGTAGTAATGTTAATCTGAATGTCTTTCAAAGCGTCTTCTACTGGTAACTGCTAGGAAGTGGTTCAGTAAATGGTGTTATAAGGAAAAAGGCCGAGGGGAGGGTTAAGGGCAGACTGACTTCGCCCATCTTCTGAGGCTGGTTGAGACTTTTTAAAGGCCACAAAGGACATGAACAGCTGCTTTTAGGATGTCGTGTGATAACACGACGAGTGATTTTTGTGCTATGTGTTGTTTTTTTTATCCTTGGGACACTGTCACTTGTAAAATGTTGAGCTATCAAAATGTACATTTCTCCTTCAGAAAACATAATTTCCCCTGGCTTCTCTGCTGTCCTCTTCTCCAGAGAGGCCATGCTTCAGTAAATCATTCCAGAGCCCAGAGGTGCTCAACCCCCAAGCCAGTTTTCAGTGCTAAGCTTTGTAGGCCTAAGTGAACGTAGGCAGGAGTACCCTGAGACGACGCAGAACACTGCCTGGTAAGCCTCCTCTCCTAGGGTCACTCAGGCATTAACTGTGGCATTTTTCTTTTTAAAGAATCCTTGTTTACAGATCTTTTTAGAACTGCTACAGACTCTTCTTTCATGCCCCAACACATCTTTTTAAGCATGTAGGGCGGGGGTGGGGGAGGGGTTGCAGCTTGATCAGTCCAGCTTCCTGTTTCTCACGCCATCCAGATGTCCTAGAAGACCCATGAACAGGAGGCACAGAGACCATGCCCTCCCACCTCTGATGACCTACCAGCAATCAATATTCAGTGAGACTCTGCCTGCGAACATGGAGGTTCCACTTAGCCCTCGTGGCTAGTATCCAGTGATGAATCTGTCCTATCATGAATTTATCTAGTTCTCCGTTATGTGTGAGGCAGTGAGTCCCACAATCTGCATGTTGTGAGAAGAAGTTACTTTGCTTGACTTCAGTCTGGCGTTCATCAGCTTTATTGGGCACCCACAAATTCTAGTACGTTGGGACAAGGATAAAAGTTCTCTCACTTTTCACCACCCATACATAACACTCCTCTAGGAACCTCCAGTCCTACTTTCAGCAGCCATGCTTGGTGTTGGCATCTTTGTAGGCTGGCTAGAGACGTAAAAAGTTTAGAAATTTTGGAGATGTGGAAGGAACAAAAACAAACCATGATTGCATTTTGATGCATGTATGTGCTTTTCTATCCTGTTGATGCTTCCGCATCCTCCATATCTTCCTCCTCTCTGATCAAGAGCACTTGGAGGCAGAAGGGTGGAAGTCACTTTAATTTGTGAACTCTGTTGGGCTGTTTCAGATCCGTGTGATAAGGCCTCCCAACTACGCCGGACCCTTGATGTTGGGCCTGCTGCTGGCTGTGATCGGAGGCCTGGTTTACTTGAGGAGAAGCAACCTGGATTTTCTGTATAATAAAACAGGCTGGTCTTTTGTTGCATTGGTAAGCGGACCAACTTCAAAAACTCTCATAACTTTAACAGGCAATAAAACTGCTGCACTCCCTTTTGGGTGTTCTTACCTTGCGGAAACACTGAGAGGTGCAATTACTTCTTCAATTGGATGCAAAAAAAAAGGTGGGATTGTGTTTATTTACTTATTTATTTATTTTGCTGTCAAGTCATAGTGGATTTACAGCGACCCCCTTCGTGGGGTTTTAAGGGAAGAGACGTTCAGAGGTGGGTTTGCCCTTGCCTGCCTCTGCGTAGCAGCCCTGGGCTTCCTTGGTGGTCTCCCGTCCAGATACTAACCAGGGCTGACGCTGTGCTTAGCTTCCGAGATCTGATGAGATCGGGTGAGCCTGGGCTGTTTATGATCAATGTTGGCATCCACCTGTAGACAGGATTCTTCTGGCTGTGTCACGGGATTCTGTAATATGTGATAGATTCAGTATAATGTGAACTGTGGTAAACAGGCTTGTTCATTCATTTTAAACTCATTTGGAACACAAGCTGAAAATATCTCTAAAAGGTATAACTTTTGAAAAAAGGCTTATGAAACTGATGGCCTTCTTGGTTGTGGCACCAAAGTTGGCGCTCTCCTCCCCCCTCCGGATAGTCACCTGTCCTTTTCTGCCACTGCTTTCCACCAGTGGTTGAAGACTTGTTTCCTTCCTTCCTTGATTCCTCCTTCCTGTCCTGTGTTTTTAATATATACTTAGTTGCTGTTTTAATCATTCTCATGATGTGCTTTTATGATGCTTGCTTCAACTGTTAGCCACTTCAGTAGCTATGGGGAGTGGGGGGGGGCAGAACAGATGGAGTACAAATTTTGTGAATGAATCTTATAGCTGGCATTGTTTTGAAGTCAGCTGTTGTCAGTCAGTTTTGCTTCAAGGCTGTCTGGTTCTGTGCCACATTCGTTCATATTCACTGCTTCATAATTTGTTGGTTTCCAGTGTTTTGTTCTAGCGATGACATCAGGCCAGATGTGGAATCACATCAGAGGACCCCCATACGCTCATAAGAATCCTCATAATGGTCAAGTGGTAAGTCTTTAGAACAGTAAAGAAGCTCTGTGGGACGTCGTTCCAGAGTGGTAGCCAAGTCCTCCTGTTGCAGCCAGAATAAACAGGGGTGTTGTGGCACCGTAACGACTGCCAGCATGTTCTTTTCCAGCTTATGTGCTTTGTGGACTAGAGCCCAGTTCTTTAAATGTGGTGAAGATTGAGATTGGATTTTATGAACAAAGCATCAAGTTGTTTGGTCTTTAAGGTGCCACAAGACTCTTCTTTTATTTCAGTCGTTAGCTGTTCCTTGGATTCCTGGCATGATTCTCCAGTGATTAAGGAGCAGTGTCTTGTGAGAAGCTGTCCCAGGTGATTCTTTTTAAAATAAATGGTGCTCATGTGGCAGTGCCACTACTACTAACCTTTTCTGTAAAGTACTCAAGGCAATGTACAAAGTATGCTAAGAAAAAATAATAATGAAACCTTAAACTCTGAAACTCTTTCCCACCCCCACTCCAGCTAAAGTGCTAAAGCTCCAACAGTGGCCGTTTTTGCAACTCAGCAGGCTGGGGGAGGGCAGAGTGAGCCTGCTGTCCGCTTCCAGCCCAGCGGCTGCTCCCCCTGCACCCCTCTCTGGCTTCAGCTTCTGGCAGAAAGAACACGGCCCCTTCCTCCATGCCAAACGCCTCTTGCGTGTGCTGACATAAATGGGTGGGGTTTGTCCCCGTTTAAACACGGCAATCATCTGTGTCTCCAGGCTTAATTTTTTTCTAAGGCTGTGCAGCATCTTCTTTCAGGAGCTGGAAAGAGAATAGAGGAGCAGTTTGGTGTCGTGGTTAAGTGTGCGGACTCTAATCTGGGAGAACCGGGTTTGATTCCCCACTCCTCCACTTGCACCTAGCTGGATTACCTTGGGCAAGCCGTAGTTCTGATAAAAGCTGTTCTTGAAAAAGAGCAGTTTCTGTCAGAGCTCTCTCAGCCGCACCTACCTCACAGGGTGTCTGTTGTGGGGAAGGGAAAGGAGTTTGTAGGCCACTCTGAGACTCCTTTGGCCTTCGGCTTGTGCCTCTTGCAAGGAGGAGCCTTACACAGGTTAAGGCTCACCCAGCAGATGGCGGGGCCAGCAGTCAAATCTCTCATTAGCATTTCAGAACATTTCTTAAGCCCAGCTCAGTCTTCTCTCCCAAGCAGAAAACATGGGGTGGGGGAAGAAACGAAAATGAGGGTAAAGATCAACGTGGGGAGCCGTGTCAGTCTGTCTGTAGCAGTAGAAAAGAGCAAGAGGCCCGGAATGCCTTAAAGACTAACAAAATTTGTGGCAGGGGAGGAGCTTTTGTGAGTCATTCCTCCCTTCTTCAGAGAAGGAGGGTGAGGGAGAGAGAAGCCAGCCTTTCTTCTTCCCCAGTTTTGCATCTTCTACCCAGAAAGGCCTGCAAGGAAAGTCTGTGAGAGGGGCTGGGCGGGGTCCACAGCTTTAAAGACTTCCCCTCCAGCTCTGGAGGTGAGCAGGCTCATGTGGAGGAACATATTTGTGTTTTGGACAGAACCTATTTCTAAAACAATAAACATTGGCTGCTATGAACTTGATGTACAAAACTAAAGAAGAAGAAGAGATTGCATTTATACCCCGCCCTTCACTCGGAGTCTCAGAGGGGCTTACAAACTCCTTTTTCTTCCCCTCCCTACAACAGACACCCTGTGAAGTAGGTGGGGCTGAGAGAGCTCTGAGAGAACTACTCTTTCAAGGTCAGTTCTTGTCAGAACTGTGGCTTGCCGAAGGTCACATCAGCAGGTGCAAGTAGAGGAGGAGTGGGGAATCAGACCCGGTTCTCCCAGATCAGAATCCGCACACTGAACCTCTAATACCCGTTCACTTGACTTTTGGAAGCTCAGTCAAACAAGGTCATCCTGCACTGCTTCTGGAAGGCACTGAAGCTCTGCTTCTAGGGGAAGGAGATCCATGTCTGCCAAAGCAGCCACTGAAGATGCTTCTCTTCATGCTGTTGGGGGGGGGGGGGGAGGCCTGTGGCAGGCCTGGCAGAGAGCGCTTTGAGATGGTGACGAGTTCAGGCAGTGTCAGGGATGTGAGGCCTGTGCCACACATGGTTCCCCTGCAGAACTAGACCCACAGTGTTTTAATATACTCCTGGCTAGTAGCTCTTGTAAGAGGTGGGCTGTTAAATCAGTGGCTTTACAAACCAGGTAGTGTCATACCTGAAAAAGATGATGCTCCTGGATACAAGAGGACTTTAATTGTGTCCCTCTTTTTAGAGGTTGTTTGAAAACAATTCAAAATAGGAGTATAGCTGTGAACAATCTGACAAAAACTGAACAAGACAAAGTGTGTGGAGTGGAGTCTTGTGAGCAAAAATCCTAGTTTGTGAGCTACTGGCATTAAAGTTGGGAGCAAGCAATTTGGCTGCTGCATAAATTATTTTGCTCTGGAGCCATCCTTCCTGAGCGAAGACGAAAATGTGTGAGCCGGAGGCTAAAAGACTGTGAGCTAGCTCACACCAACTCAGCTTAGAGGGAAAACTGGTGATGGTGGGCAGATTGAGACAGTTATATGATTAAATCTAAAGTGTTACTATTTTACAACACTGTACAAACTGTGAAGGCTGTTCTGTCATTAGAAGTAAAAGGAAACCTTTATGAGTATAAAAATCGGTTGCAATTGGCTAAACCTGGCTGCTAGCACCTGGGTGGATGTGTAGTAATGTGCTTTAGAGATGTTATGCTGTAAAAGAAAAATGATCACATCTGCATAACTTTTTTGCATGTTTTGCAGAACTATATCCACGGAAGCAGTCAAGCGCAGTTTGTTGCTGAAACTCACATTGTTCTTTTGTTTAGTATCCTTACTGATAAAAATCACGCCCAGCTATAACATTTTATTTATCTGTTTCATTTACACCCTACCTTTATCCTCAGTGGAGACCCAAAGCAGCTTACATCATTCTCCTCTCCTCCATTTTATCCTCACAACAACCCTGTGAGGTAGGATAGGCTGAAAGTGTGTGACTGGCCCAAGTTCACCCAGCAAGCTTCCATGGCAGAGGGGGGATTCAAACCTGGGTCTCCCAGATCCTAGTCTGATAGTGTAACCACTCGTCCACACTATCTCACAAAGCCTTGCCAAGATTCTGTTGCAAGGATGAATCTCCTAGATCTTTTTACTGCTTGCGCTGGTGACTGGAAACTGGGGAAGGGCATTGATACATTTACCACAGTGTTTTGTGCTGTGTTCTTCCCCTTGGCAATTTTCTTTCCGCCTCCTCCTCCAACGTTCTCAGTCTTTAATTGCATAAAAATAAAAACTAAGCTTTGCTTGATCGATTAGCAGAAGCTGAAAAAAAACCCCTTGCATTGCTTTGAAAATGTGGAAGTTTGGAAAGTCTGGACCTGGGCCCTTCCTCCTTTTCTGTAGTCCAACTGAGAATGCTGGCACAAAGCTGGCACATTTAATTTTGACTTCCTCCTATGCTCCTTAGAGTATCTGATATTTCATGTAGGGCTGTTCTTAGTTCACTGAGTCTATATGGAAGACTCCGATAGTCCTTGCAGCTAGAGTTGCCTCGCTCCAGGTAGGGGCTAGAGAGTTTTGAAACGTTTATTGCACTTCTTATGGAGAAAACGGCTGCTTTGGAAGGTGGGCTGCCTGGCGTTATGCCCTGCCAAGGCCTCTCCCCTCCCTAAACCCCTCCCCTCCCGGGCTCTATCCTCAAGTCTCCAGGTATTTCTGAACCCAGAGTTGGCAACCCGACTTACAGCCCATCTGTTACAGTTAACAGTACTGACCTATATTACCCATATTTTTTAAAAATAGGGGGGCTGTATGAGGTGGGGAATTCATGGTTCTCAAATCTGTCATTTTTTGGCTAGGAAGGCTATGCCATGCCTTTTGTACAAATTAACAGTTTGTGGCATGGCAGCCTGGCGGGACGCCTGAGGCCAGTGCAAAGAGGGGCACCAGGGCGAGGGAGTGGCAGCAGGTTGTGCCGTTGGGACTGAGCCCCACTGTCCCGAAGCTGAGGCTACGGAGTCATCCCAGTTTTGTGTGGCAACTGTATTCAGGTGGGTCGCCTTGCTGGTTTGAAGCAAAAGAACAAATTTGAGTCCAGGGGCACCTTTAAGACCCACAAAGTTTAATTCTGGGCATAAGCTTTCATGTGCACCTACACAAAAGCTTACACCTGGAATTAAACTTTGTTGGTCTTAGAGATGCCCCTAGACTCAAACTTTGTTCTTGTGTTGCAGCCGTTACTGCAAGAGCTGAGCTGCTTTGTGGGCTTGTTGGAGGGATGGAACCTAAACGCACAAAGCTCTACCTTATATTGAATTAGACCCTTGGTTATTTCAGCCTCAGTCTTGTCGACTCAGACTGGCAGCAGCTCTCCAGGGTCTCAGGTGGAGGTCTTTCACATCAGCTACTGCCTGATCCTCTTTAACTGGAGATGCTGCCAGGGACTGAGCCTGGGACCTTCTGCACGCCCAGCAGATGTTTCCCTGCTGAGCCACAGCTCCTCCCCATCCGGCCTGTTATGCCCAAGGCTCACACATTTAAAGGGAGTCATCGCCAAAGCAGATACGTGTGTCTTTGCTGAAGTTAGCCTTAGAAGTTACATGTCATGCCTTATAAGCTCCAGTCTGTCTCTTTTTTCTAATCTGATGATAAATATGACGACGTTTAAGTCTTTCCATTCTGAATGACAATTCTGCTAAGTTTCTGGGTGTTATAATCCCCTTAAACTCTCAGCTAGAACAAAAGTCGTCACCCTTCCTAGCTGGCCTGTGCCGTAAGGACTGGAGAGCCAGTGTCTTCTTGTTTAGTGTGCTCAGATTGACTTCCAGTGTTTTAGCCTTAAGCAGCTTTTTTTCAGATGCTGGTGTGACACTTGGTATGGTGCTTTTGCATGAAGCTGCTACCTCTGACATAGAAGTGGGGAAAAGAAAAAGTAAGTACCAGTTTGATGCCAGCGTCTACTTACTTTGCCAGTGCTGGATCTGACCGGATCTTCGACGTGGTCTCCGTGCTTCACACCCATGGGATACAGTGCGCCTGCGCTGGATTGATCGGCATTGTAGCAAGCTCTTAACAGATTTTTGCGCCCAGACTTCAGGCATGCGCAGGAACCCCACCACGCATGCCCAGAGGGGTGGGCGTGGGCATCCCGCCAGTTCCTTTCTTTCCACCATGCTGGAAGCACCTTCCTTTCAGTCTAATCGGTAGCTATTTTTCCTCAGAGGCTCTTCCGATTTCTCTTCAGTTTTCTTTGTTTTTCGCTTTTACCTTGATTTATTTGTTGTTTTCTTTTTTTAAAAAAATAGGACTTTGTTTAGTTGAGGGGGAAGTTTTTTGGCCTTCGGGGGGGGCCACCTCTTTTTCTTCTCTATTTGTTTATTTTATGGAGAAGAAGTGGGGCTTTTTCAATCATTGCAAGGGTTGCGGCAGTAAGCTCCACCTGATGGCCACACCCTTTGCATTTTTTGTCTTGGTGAGACACACCGGCCGGAGTCCTGTCGACACTGCGCCAAGTTTTCAAATCAAACTAGGGAAAACCGAGCGGCGCGTCTCCGTGTGGCATTACTGGAATCAGTGCTAAATCCAGCTTCTGCCATAGATCCAGAAGTACCGCTAAGGCCATCGACATCGACGGCTCCGGTATCAAAGTCCTCGTCTGACATTGTCCAGTCGACATCGAAGCATTCGGCACCGATGCCACACTCTTCGGCATCTACTCCCGTCGAGTAAAGAGCACAAGTCAGCCAAAAAGGGCTCCTCTAAGGCCCTAAAGGCGGCAAAGTCTGGAAAAGTCACAGGTCCTGCACCGGGTAATGCCCCTAAGGTGCCCCCCGCTCCAACGGCAGTATCTGTATCGGAGGCTACAGTCGCTCCACCGATACCAACCATCCAGCTGATAGACTCTCCGATACACCAGCTAGACCACGACACGCTGGTCAATATGCGTCCTTTCTCCGACATCGATAATGTCGAGATCCTCAGTTGTTCCTTGGGCACGGACCGCTCTCCCTCTGATCAGTCATCGACATCGACGGTCTCGGAGTTCCATGCCGATATCGATCTAGGTCGGCATCAACAGATCCCCCCAAACACTCAACGTCATCCTCCCCGTCTGTTTGCCGAGGATCGGCCCTTCGATATCGATGATCGGGCTACTAGGGGCCACTCACGGAGACGAGATCCTACGCTGTCTTCCAGACGCTCCCGCTCTAGGAGTAGATCCCCACGAGTCTTCCTGCCCCCCCCCTCTCCTGGGATCACCGCCAACTGTGTTATCTCTATGGGGCTTATCCACCCGCATCCATGCCGTGGTTGACTCCAGCAGGTTACTCTGATTGGGATCGTTACTCTGCCCACAGATCATGGTCACCCCATAGATGGAGCCCCTCAGCATCTCTCTCCCGTCCTCCGGATCATCCATCTGATGACCCTCCTCGACATCGACTGGATCAATATCGTCCTCCCAGTCCCCCATCTCACTGTCAACAGATCCAATCAGTCAGATCAAAACCACTCCGGTACAATTACCAGAGCCCGATTCCTCTGACTCTGTGGATGAGGATTCTGATACAGGGGCTTCAGATATGGACAGCTCCCCTGACCAGTCGTCTCCTAACCAGGCAGTTGCCAACGACCAACCTATATCTCCATCTGACAGTTTAACTTCCTACAGATACCGATACACTTTGTGGGAGAGGCTTTCCGAGCTTCTGGCAAACCTTCCAGAAGACAAGCGTCAGGCAGCCCGCATCATCCAAAAGGAGGGCATGGTGCTGGCAAAACAACAAATTAATACCTCTAAACATGCCCTAGACACCTGCTCAAGGACAATGGCTTCAGCCATAGCTCTACGAAGACATTCCTGGCTACGTAACACCAATCTACAGCCAGATACTAGGTCATACGTAGAGGACTTCTCCTTCGATGACCTTGGTCTATTTAATAGTACTACAGACACCGTATTACAAGATGTGGATAAAAGCATAAAAGCTTCTCGTGCTCTGGGCGTTTCTTCATCCACGAGGCAGCAATATTGACCTCATCCCTGGTCTAGACCCTGACAAAAACGCACCCAAACCGTCAATTTCCTGACTGGCAATGGAGGCCACGTACATCCTCTGGATGCCAGAAGCCCACATTTCAGAAACCTAGATTTGGATCGGGACAACAGTCTTCCCGCAGTAAGCAGGCAAAGTCCGCCAAGCAGGGTTTTTGACTGCCATGTCTTCCAGTCACATCCAACCCGTCTAACCCCCTTCCTCCAAACTTGGGCACCTCATCACCACAGATGAATGGGTGCTGTCCATCTTGACCCAGGGTTACCACATAGAATTCATTCAGAACCCCATTACCTCATCTTCGTCTCCACACCCCCTTCTCCAGCCCTTCTGGAAGAAGTGTCCGTCCTTCTTCAGGAGGGAGCTATCGAGCCGGTGCCACTGCATCTACAGGGCAGGGGATTCTATTCCCACTATCTCACCGTTCCAAAGCGGGATGGAGGCGTTCGACCAATCTTAGATCTACGGGCGCTAAGCTGCTTTGTGAGCTACCACCGCTTCCACATGGTGTCCTTGGTCCAGATTCTGCCACTTCTCCAGAAGAACGTCTGGATGGCCACCCTCGACCTCCAAGACGCGTACTTCCACCTCACCATCCACCCGTCCCACCGCCAATACCTACGCTTCGCAATTGGTCAGCATCACTACCAATATGCAGCCCTGCCATTTGGCCTTTCAAGTGCACCAAGAGTCTTCACAAAGACAGTGGTAGTGGTCGCGGCCTTCCTCCGTCTCAAGGGTATCTCCATCTACCCATACATAGACGATTGGCTCTTGGCGGCAACTTCCAGGGACGCCCTAGTCTCAAACATCAACGAGACTCCTGGGAAACCTGGGTCTGCAAGTAAATCTGGAGAAGTCTCAACTTCAACCGGTCCAGAAAATACACTACATCGGTGCGCTACTGGACTCCACAAATTGCACAGCCTACCTGCCACAAAACAGAGCCGCCGACATCAATCTAGCCACTGTCATGCGTACCTGGCCTTCAGTGACGGCCTTCCAAATACAAGGCTATTCGGCCTCATGGCTGCTACTATATCAGTCCTGGTTTTTGCCAAGTTGAGAATGCGCCACCTGCAACTCTGGTTTATCCGCAGTTTCAATCCAGAGCGAGACACACACTCAACCCACCTATCCCCGCCTGTCAAAGTACGGGACTCTTTACTTTGGTGGACCACCCCTTCCAACCTTTTCCAGGGAGTACCCTTCCATCTTCCATCACCCCAAATTAACCTGACTACAGATGCCTCTCGGGCTGGGGCGCCTACATGATATGACATTGTGTCGGAGGCAGATGGGACACACAGAAACGGAATCGGCACATCAATTTCCTGGAACTGCTTGCGATACAGTTCGCTGTCAACAGTTTCCTGCCCCTGATCAAGGGGAAGTGTGTCACGGTCCTCACGGACAATACTACTGCCCTCAGCTATGTGAACAAGCAAGGGGGCACCGTCTCCCAATGCCTCTGCGACCTCGCCCTCCAGTTATGGGATCTCTGTATCGCCCACAACATCTTCATAGTCATCATGCACATCCCAAGGCACATAAATGTGCAGGTGGACCACCTGAGTTGGGCAGGACAGGCTGCACGAGTGGGAAATGAATCCAACTTACCTTCTTCCACTCTTCCGCAAGTGGGGGTTCCCCTAGATAGATGTTTTCACCACCAGGGTGAACAAAAAGTGCCCTCTGTTCTGCAGCCGACGTGGCAGGGACCCACAGTCTCTGGGGGACGGTTTCCTCTACCTGTGGTCCAGAGGATTTCTCTACCTCTTCCCTCCACTGCCTCTGCTTCTGAGAGTGGTCCGCAAGATCATCAGCGACAGAGCGGACTGCGTCCTCATAACCCCGTGGTGGTCGAGGCAACCATGGTTCTCAGCCATCTTCGATCTGTCAGCGGGGGTCTACCACCAATTTTCCCCGGCACAAGACCTGTTCCTAACCGAGTCCCCTCTCCTATACCACGATGTGCCACGAATGAAGTTGACGCCTGGAGAGTGGCGTCAACAGCTTTTCCTCCCGCATAGCAAATGTCTTGCTAAACTCCAGAAAGCCCATTATGCAAAAGTCGTATCATTACAAGTGGCTAAGGTTTTGTTCCTCCTTGGGTGAGGCTGTCCCTCGAGCCATCTCCGCAGGCCTCGAGAAGGTTTTTGAATTCCTCCTGTCTCTCGCTGACTCGGGACTGTCACATTCCTCGTTAAAGGTTTATTTGGCTGCACTTTCGGCCTACCATGTTCAAGTTGAAGGATGCACACTGTTCTCGCCTCCCCTTTCTAAACGTTTTTTGAAGGGACTGTTACACCTTTACCCTCCCATCAAAAGTCCTGTCATCCGCTGGGACCTTCCCCTGGTCCTTCGCCAACTCACCAGGAAACCCTTTGAGCCGCTCGCAACTTGCGACATGACATTTCTGTCCTGGAAAACAGCCTTTCTGGTGGCTGTCACGTCAGCAAGGGGAGTTGGAGAAATACTGGCTTTCAGACATGACACTCCTTACTTGTCATTTTTGCCAGACGACGTCCACCTTGTACCTGACATCTCGTTCCTGCCAAAGCTAGTGTCAGAATTTCACCTACAGGCAGAGGTCTTCCTCCCGGATTTCTTCCCTGCTTCGACATCCCCAGAGGACAGGGTGTTACACACTTTGGACACGAAACGTGCGCTTCTGTTCTACCTAAACAGAACCAGCCCAACGAGACGTGACTGTCAACTGTTCGTCTCCTATGCACCAGCAAGGCTGGGAACGCGAATCACGGCTCAGCGTTTTTCAAGGTGGATTGTAGGTCTCATCTGCCTCTGCTACCTTATCGCTAAGCAGCCATTGCCTGGCCCTATCAGAGATTCAACCCGAGCTGTTGCAGCCTCAACTGCCTTCCTCCAGGGAGTTCCCTTAATGGACATTTGCAGAGCCGCTATGTGGGCTACGCCTAATACGTTCATAAGGCATTACACCCTAGATGTCCGGAAGAACTCTCGTACCAACATGGGACGTCACATGTTATTTGGT